TCCTCATTTTACAGATGGGGAACTGAGGCATAAAGGGAGAGACTTCCCTTAGGTCACACAGGAAGTCTGTGGAGGAACAGGGAATTGAATCCATGTGTGTGAAGTCGTAAGCTAGTACCATAACTATAAGACTATCCTGCCTGTCTCACAATAGAGATTGGGAGTTGCTAGAAGCTGACCAATCCCAGAGAGAACTAGGCTTTGTGTGGAGAGCAATATAATTTTTTAAAGAACCACTAGTTCAGTGAAGGAAAGGAATTTGTACAACACCCACAGTGTACTCTCACCGGGAGTCCTGGGACCTTCTGTCTGTGCCATTGGGATGCAGAACCCACAGGAATTCCCACAACCCTAAGGCTCATACAAATGTGGTGCAACAGTGTTTTTTTTATAATGAATATTCCTTAGATTGCATTAGTAGCCATAATGTGATAGTTATTTGCCTGACAGATGAATATACCATCCTTCTGCTACCACACATGCCCAGTGGCCACAATTTATTCTCTTTGATGCAAATTAGCTGTAGTCCTTTGGTCTCTTTGCTAGTTTACAGTGTGTCTGAGCAAAGTTTGGACACCTCTGAGCCTGAGTCTGTAAGATGAGTAGTTTCACTGAAGTCATGAATGGATTTAAACCAAGGGCAATGTGTTCATAATCAGGTGTCCTAGTTCTCTGTGACTTAGAGTTTGATTTGTGTTTAGTTTTCATGACTACAATAGTTTTTTATTATTATTTTTATTTCATCCAAGGAGGAGAGATGATTTTAGAAGTGTAAAAGAAAAATTCAGTATTCTTCTTACAGTATGTTCTTCTGCTTAGTCCTGATTTCTTATGTACACCTAAACTTCAGCATATGCAAATGTATTAGTTAATAGAATAGTCTATATGCTCAGCACCTCTCATTTGGTTTATCTACATACTAAAAATAAAGGCAGGAGAAACAGGAGCATTTAGTATCTGTCACAGCATATTTTTATTTTTAGAATATATTACTTGGACGCAGTTCTTTTTGGTTCAAAAGCTCATTTAGTCTGGAAAAGAATAAAAAAAGTTTCAGATTTAGTGCTACTTTTTAGATGAGACATAACAGCTGCTGAAATTAAATTAGGATCTATACTTGCTTCTGGCAGCATTCCAACTCATCTTTGGTTGAAATACGTACTGTAATAGGATGTGAAACATGAATTGAAAGCAAATATTTTTCCCAGTTCTACCTTTTCAAAAGCACAATGTAGGAAATTGTATTCTAGAATCATGGAACAGATTCTTACATTTGTTCCAATATCATTAAATGTATAAAAATCCCACATTTAAGCTCCATTAAATGTCATTAACAATTTGTCTTTCAGACTCAATGGCTTTGCTGATATTTCTGTTCTGTGCATCTCTGCAGCCTGATAGAATGACATTTAAAAGTAGTTTTCAAACCTAGAGTGTTATTTTTAAAAGGATGAAACTGTCTGCAGAGAAAATAAGCAAATAAATCCGTGTATTGCATGTGACAGTGATACAGGATCATCAGCATTTAGCGAGCGTTAATTACAGAGATTGTGGGCAAGGTCCAAGATTTTCAAAAATAGGTACCTACAGTTTTGCTTTTACAGCCATATTTAAACACCTAAATAAGTGGCCTAATTTTCAGAAGGCCCTAGCACCCACCTGGTCCCATTGACTAAAACCAAATCTACGGGTGCATGAAACATTGAAAACCAGGATGAATTATTAGAAGTGTAAGTATAGGCACCATTTTTTATGTGGTTAGTCTGAGTTCTTTCCTGTTCATAAACCCTAGAGGTATGACATTACAAGACTTTAGTCATGCAGATGGTCCCTCTGACTGAGTAAAGCTGTGTGTGTGTAAAGGTTTCCAGAGTCAGGCCCCTTGGTCCTGACCAGTAATTGTCCTTACAATGAGACGGACTAGATTATCACACTAGTCCATTCTGGCCTTGGACTCTATTGAATAAAGGCTCTCCTGTCACCTTTCTCAAAAGTATAGCTGGCAATATAATAGTAATTACATATATATATAATATAATGTTTGAATCCTGGTCAAATTTCATGCTGGGTGACTACCTTCCAACAACCTATATTTACCCTGCAGTTTCAATGGTATATGGGAGAAGATTGCTCAGCCCTTATAATGTGGGCCACATGAAAAGATTTTCTTGTGGAGCAGTTTCAGGATTGTCCTTACATCATACACGGAATATACAGCTGCATAGAGCATCTGAAAATTTGGGGCACCACTGACACAGGGTCTTAATGTCCACCCGTCTCTTCCTATCTCTGATCTGTGGCTCAGCTTCCTCTGGACAGGATCTAGTAAGTTAATTTAAAAGAGAAAAAGCCTGCTAGACCTATTAGCGGAACATTGAACTTGTGAAGGAGCCATTCAAATGGTAATGAAGCCATTTAACAGGCTTTTGCCAAGCCCAGGTATATGCTGTCAGTTTTTGAATTTACTGTAGATGTTACCATGTACGGCAATTTTTTTCACCTATGGTATGTATACACAACAAAGTTATTTTGAAATAACAGCCCTTATGTCAAAATAACTTTACTAGTGTCTACACAGCCAAACCACTATTTCAAAATTAATTCGAAATAGCGGAGCACTTATTTCGAAATTAGTAAACCTCATTCCACGAGGAATAACACCAAATTTGAAATAGCTATTTTGAAATAATTGCTGTGTAGACACTTATTTAGAAATAGGGGGCCTCCAGCCTTCCCAGGGTGCCCTGCTGGCCACTCCAGCCTCAACGAAGAACACTCCTCTCCCTCCCACACTCTCCAGAGCCCTTAAAGGGGTTGACTCTGTCCACAGTGCCTGTGCCAGCTCCAATCCTGCCAGCCCAGAGCCAGCAGTCACTGACCTGACCCAGTGGCCCCAAAACATGAACCAGCAAGCCACTGGCAGCCAGCCCTCCATCGCTCTCCAGGAGCAGTCTGCCAGCTCCCAGGAACCTGCCAGGGCCTGGAGAAGGCAGGCGCCTTCCTGGTCTAGGGTGGAGATCATGGACCTTATTCAGGTTTGGGGGGATGCCCCCAATGTCCATGTTCTTTGCACTAGATGGAGGAATGCGGCCATCTATGGCAGGATAACTGCCAGACTGGCCACCAAAGGCCACATAGAAACCCAGGAGCAGGTTCGCATGACAATCAAGTTGGTCCAGCGAGACCCCCACCCTTGAGCCCTGAGCTTTCCTCCCCCTTCTTCCCCTTGCTTCCCCCTTCCAGCTCTCTACTCCCAGGTTTCCTCCTCCCCTCTCCCATCCTCTCTTCTCCCCTCTCTCTCCTCCTTTCCCCAGTCTCACCAGAGTTTCATTCCCTGCCCCAGTTTTGTTAAATAAAGAAAGTTTGTGTTCATGAAAATATGTGTATTTTATTTGACATGTGGAAGGACGTGAGGGAATAATGGGGCACAAGTCCCCAGTGGGGCAGACCAGGGACGCTCTTAGTGCTCCTTCAGGGCCTCCTGGACACTGACAACCCCCTGATGGACCTCCTACATGGCAGCCTGCAGAAAGTGCAGCCAGGCTCGCAGCAACGTGTCCAAGAGAAGCACCAGAGTGGCAGCTCTGGCTCTATGTTGTAGAGTGGTGTGGTGTCCCGAGTGAGGGCAACCAGAGCATGCAGAGACAAAATGCTTTGCTGTCCCTCATCAAGGTTGGCAAGCAAGCAGGGAAAGCTGAGAACTGGCTGTCCGGGGGGGGGGGGGGGGGCCTTTAAAAAAAAGCCTCCAATAGTACATGGCAGCCTGCAGAAAGTGCAGCCAGGCTCGCAGCAACGTGTCCAAGAGAAGCACCAGAGTGGCAGCTCTGGCTCTATGTTGTAGAGTGGTGTGGTGTCCCGAGTGAGGGCAACCAGAGCATGCAGAGACAAAATGCTTTGCTGTCCCTCATCAAGGTTGGCAAGCAAGCAGGGAAAGCTGAGAACTGGCTGTCCGGGGGGGGTGGGGGGGCCCTTTAAGCACAGGCCTCAGATAGCCTCAGGCAGCAACTATGCAAAGTAACTCCTGACCTGATGCCCTGCCGGACCTGGTTCCAGCCAGCCTTAAATGCGATTCAGTGTCCACTCAGTGTGGACGCACTATTTCAAAATAACAAAATGCTAGACATGTTATTTTGAATTAACTATTTTAAAATACGATATTTTGAAATAACGCCGTAGTACAGACATACTCTTACAGACTAACACAGCTACCAGAACTTTTGAATTTACTATTAGTCTATGGGACCTTAGTTTAAAATTTGCTTTAAAAATATTTCATTAGTATGTTGCTAAAGACTATATATCACATCTCTAAAAAATCATCATCCGCAGCTCTCCCCTTAGCTACTGTTGGACATAGCGACGCCAGTTTAATAGAATTGCGTAGGGCCCCATAAATCTTAAGGACTGCCTTGAGCACTTTCTAAGCTGCTGGTAATCACACGGCCCACTTCCCCTCCTATTCATGAGTGCTCGTCATTCTTGTAGCATCTAGAGCCAGTCCTTGGATTGAAATCGCTATTAAAAAGGTATTTATTATCTTTTAAGAAAACATTATCACCTGCAAACAAGGAGAACCAGCCCGGTCTCTACATAAGCAAGCATTCTGCAGACCACCCATGGTCTAAGCACAATGATTTGGGATTGATTGGGGACATATAGCATTCTTTACATCTTGGCCTTAAGCTGCAGATCATTACTGTTTAACTGCTATATTTCAATATCTGAAGTGATGACAATATTTTAGTAGCGAGTGAAGTAATACTTGTTTGTTAGGCCAAATCATCAGCAGATTCTGTTAAAGTAAATGGAACTTTCCCAACTTAAATCAGCTGAGAAGCTAGCAAAATAGTAGATAAAGGGCTTTGAGACTGTTTTTGTTGAAACTTACTGTAAAAAAGTGAGCTATCGCCATGTACTGCTGATTATTGTGAAAGCACTGCAGTTTTATAATGGACTCCCTGCTTAACAGTGTTCTCTTTTCTTTTTTCCCTTCAAATTAGATATTTATCTTTGAGAATAACATCTATTACTGTGCCCATGTGGGGAAGCAAGCCATCCGAGTGGTCTCCACTGGAAAGGAAGGTGTTATTTTCAATGGCCTCAGCGACTGGCTATATGAAGGTAGGACACAATATTGAAGGCTGCCGTTAGTTATGAGTTTAAGCTCTAGGTTTGGAGAACTGGGTAAAAATTAGAAGTGAAGCATTTGATTTCTTGGGACGATGGCCTATTAGTTGGAAATTAAGCAGTTCTAATGCTTATCTGAAGTGCTGAACTGGGAATAATGTGAAAGGATATAAGAAAAGTTTTTTCCAGGGCTCCTCTCCACTCTTTCAAGGGTGATAAATCACAACGTGTTAATGAACAGAACTGCTTCATGATGTAATGGCACCTGCAATAATCAGATGTGCTTATTTTCTAATCCCAGTAAGTGGCAGACATTGGGCAGGGTGGGTAGGGGAATTAAGGGTGAGAAGCTGCTAAAAAAACTCCTATGATTTAGACTTCTAGAACCAGATGCTCTTGCCCTTTTGTATCAAGACAGGTAGCACAAAGGAGCTGGAAGCTGTGCAGATCTTGTTAGCTGATAATTTCTCTGCCATGGGCAAGTCCTCAGCTGGCACAGAACCAGGGCAGTTGACTCCTACTCCACATAATGGTCTTATGAGAGGAGGAGAGCCATAGCTGCACTCCTCCTATTCTCAGCTGGCAGATATCCCCTTGTGTACCACTACCAGCTGGCAAAGTGTAGACCCATCTAGACTGTTCTGCACTGTGCCAATGCTAAGGCTGGTAGAGAACTGACCTTAAGAACCAGGAAACTAAAACCAGCCCTTTTGTAGTCATCACTCCCAAAGAATCAGGGTCCTAAATTATACACACACATACATGAAGTTTTTGGACATCAGCTTATAATTGCTTTTCGTGTTTGTATGTATGTTGAAGATGAAATAGTTATGTATCACAGAATACTTAACAGTTAACATTGTCCCTATAATGGGCCAAGGTGGGTGAGGTTATATCTTTGATTGGCCTGAATTCTGTGTATGAGAGAGAGAGACACTTTCAAACTTAGGCTTTGTCTACACTGCGAGTTTTTACGGCAGAAAATGTGCTAATGAGGGGCTCATTAGCATGAGTCGTGATATCATTAGCATATTTTCTGCCCTTTCTTTTTGCACAAGGGGTTTTTGCAAAAGATGCTTATGCCCCTCCCAGAGCTCTACCTGATACCCAAGGACAAACATGGCTACAACAACACTGTATGCAACATTTTGCCTGTAAAACATTTTGCACTTAGAGTGGCTTATAGGCTATAAATGCTAATTTATTCTAATTTTTCCTAAAGAGATGAGGTTTCTGTTTTGCAACTCTGTAGGTCAAGTGCACATATCAGTATCTCTGTTTTGCTGATAAACAGCATGTAGTATCTAAGATCCTCTCAGACCGTGCTGCATACAGGGCATGCTGCTGACACAAGGAGTTTATCATGTCAGCAAACTCTGAGTGAGCAAGCTACCACCCAGTGATGCTGATGTTACACCAACACACATTTTTATTCAATTACTGCATTATTCAGTAAAATGCAGGACTATGTAGCACTTTAAAGACTAACAAGATGGTTTATTAGATGATGAGCTTTCGTGGGCCAGACCCACTTCCTCAGATAAAATAATGATATTTAATCTGAGGAAGTGGGTCTGGCCCACGAAAGCTCATCATCTAATAAACCATCTTGTTAGTCTTTAAATGCTACATAGTCCTGCATTTTACTTCAGCTACACCAGACTAACACGGCTACATTTCTATTACTATTCTGCATTACTCAGGTTATTTCTTGGATACAGTGACTTTGTTTGGTCCTTTATAACAAATTATCACACTGAAGCTGTGTTAATTTACTGATATAGTAAATGATTCTATGATTAAATACAACATATATATACAGGGACTTATTCTGCACTCCTTACACTGAAAGACACTTACAGAATAACCCCATTGAAAGTGCTTCTCCCTGTGAGTATGGGATGCAGAATCAGGTCCACTGTATCCATGTATTTCTCAGTGATTTCTTTGTTATATGATGTACATACTTAAGCCTTTTGTCTGTGATGCTGTCAGTGTCACAGACTATGGCTGTGTCCAGACTCCATGCCTCCGTCGACGGAGGCATGTAGATTAGCCAGCTCGGAAGAGGGAAATGAAGCCGCGATTAAAATAATCGCGGCTTCATTTAAATTTAAATGGCTGCCCCGATCTGCCGATCAGCTGTTTGTCGGCAGATCGGGAGAGTCTGGACGCGATGCCCCGACAAAGAAGCCTTTCTTCATCGACACAGGTAAGCCTCGTGAAACCAGGTTTACCTGTGTCGATGAAGAAAGGCTTCTTTGTCGGGGCATCGCGTCCAGACTCTCCCGATCTGCCGACAAACAGCTGATCGGCAGATCGGGGCAGCCATTTAAATTTAAATGAAGCCGCGATTATTTTAATCGCGGCTTCATTTCCCTCTTCCGAGCTGGCTAATCTACATGCCTCCGTCGACGGAGGCATGGAGTCTGGACACAGCCTATGTGGCTGAAGACAGTTAACACTTGAATAATAAAGTGACCAGTCCCCATGAGAAGAGTAGAGAAGGATCCAAACCAAAACCCCAGATGCAAACACCCGCTGAGTATTGAGGTAGAGTTCAGAATCTGATTTTGCTGGCTGGACCTGTCTCTCTTGTTTATCCCAGAAGCCCCACACTCTGCAGTGGATTGTGAATGGGAGAACGAGGAAGCAGAAAGCTCTGTGAAAGTTAGGTGCTGTGGATGGTCTCTGGCTTCCAGCTAGTCTCCATAAGTCAGCTCCCTTCCATATCTCAGCATCCCTTTGGCTTCCTAAATTGATTCACAGTCTGCCCATGAGCCTGAGGTTCACCAGATTTAAAAAAAATCTGTAGAGGGCAATGCTGGAACAGGACGTTGGGATCAAAATAGTAGGGAGCAGAGAACTGACGATTGGGTGAAACCAAATGGATAGCAAGCAAGCCAGAGGGCTACAGGATCTGGTATAGCCAGAGCACCCTATGGAACTCAGGAGCCCTGAAGGCACACTGCATCTTGTTAGTCTTTAAAGTGCTGCATAGTCCTGTCTTTTGTTTCAGCAAGACCAGACTAACACGGCTACATCTCTATTACTATTCTGCATTTGGAATGTGTAGCTCCAGGAGCAGTGGTAGCTGGAGTCCAGGAGTCAATGGGAGTTTTAACATCAGTTTCCATGAAGCTGTCTGATTTACCCTAGCTGTCTGTGTTGTGCTGTGCTGTGCAGTGCTGTGCTGTTATGTCCCTGCTGATGTCAGTCACCTTCCCACTAGTAATACACGCTCTGCACTACTACCTCGCTCTAATAGTGAGCCAAACTAAAACTATTTGAAATCTGGACAAAGATCTAAAATGTGAATCTCAGGATCATCCAACTGTTAGTGCTTTACCTTTTTCAGAAGTTCCTATCACAATGTCTCTCTCACCTCACCTGTGAAGACAGGCCAGATATTCAGTGCCACATTTGTAATTGTTTGTGTTGCCAACATCTCAGCAAGTTCTTGAGATGGATTCTGAACATATGCCAAGTTCTTGCTCCAGCTATGCAAATATATGCTCCAGTGAAGGCTGCAGTATTAGCATAACGAATCAGAGTATTATTCTTTTCTCTTTTGTGTTCTTGTCACTGATGTTCATGATCTCTGATAATATTAGCAGCTGATCAGTCATTTGGGTTACGGTTAAAATTTATGACCCTACTTGCTACCTTCTCCAAATGAAGTGCAAAAAACTTTTCAAATTTAAAGAGTAAGATTATAAAACTCTTTTATATAATGTTGATAACTATGTGCTAGCAAAATCCTTACTGCCTCTCAAATCTCAGAGCTGTTTTGCATATTAGCTATGCAAATTACAGCCCCAGCGGTACAATCTATTTGTGTGCCACTGCTACTGGTTAATACAAATGACAGGCCCCAAAGGGACCATTTTTCTTCATAACATGATTGCTTTTGTCATGATAAAATAGGTACCCTCTAGTATTAATCAGATGGTCTTGGTAAATCTGGAAGCAGAAGCAGCTTTAAAGTGGATTTGAAGATGGTTTTTATTTCCTGTAAAATGCAGAAATTCTTTGTGATTCATTTGAAGCATTTGCTTTTGTAAATTAGCCAAAGGGAGAAAACTTCCTTCAAGGTACTTATGCTGAACTGTTGACTCTTGATAGTATAGTGAAAAACATTTCAAATCAATCAGAGCTGATGTATTAGCTTAATCTACTTAGTGCATTTAGCTGGAAGGTTATAGGCTGATACATAGATTAGAATAACATGAAAGACTAGATTAAGCTAAAATAAACATTTCCAGTGCTTTTGTATGGTCTGATATGTTTTTTTTTCTTTTTTGCTATGCTCCTTGTATGTCTAATGTAAAATTTGAAGTGATAGCACAGAAATGGGACATATCCAGTGCTATTCCAGGTATCTTTGTTGGATGCCCGTTAAGAGTCCTGAGGCTGTAAACAAGCTATGTCCATAAATATGTAACTACTTGTCAAGGCTGAGTCCCCACTCTGGCACGATGAATGCAGAAGTGAGGGCCCGCAAAAGTACCCCAAAACCGTATCTTTACAGGCTTTGTTATAAAACTCCCCCCCCCAAAATCCTAATACCTGGATTTTGGAGATAAAATCCGCTGCCACCATCAAGTGCTTTTGAACCCAAAAACAGGGGTGGACACTTGAAACTAACTCCAGGGCACCCCAAGTACTTTTCCCCAAAGAGCTTGAAAAAGAAAAGAAAATACCAATTGCAGTCTGTGGTAGCTGCCTTCTAGTCAGGACACAGAACTGAACCAATACCAGGTTAATAAAAAAGAAAGAACTTGTATTATTAAAACAATCCTCCTGTTACAAGCATAATGACTAGATTGAAAAAAGTCACCAATTAATATACACATGGGGACTCCCATGGCCTCGGGACTTAGTCACAAAAGGGAGGAAAACCCATTTCTAACAGCACAGACATCAGATCCACAGTCCCACAACAGAAAACAATAAAACCTAACAGATTTATATAAACTTTACCCTTCTTACAC